CTAGTTACAGGGTTCTGCTTATGCCTTGAAGGGTCATAGTAAATGTATAAGCTAACTTAGGGAGAAACTATGATACTGAATCTTCCAAACAAAAACAATAAGTATAGGTCCACTAGTGTACCCTTTAGAAGTACTATAAGTACCCTAGCAAGGTAGATTTATGGGTAAGGGTATATTTTCTGCATTTCAGGATAATCCTCTATATTTTATCTTTGGGCTATAATTTATAAATTATAAATGTATATTATAAATATAATATTCTATAACTTGGTTTTAGCTTGCTCGTTATATCCAGTTTATTAATTTTTACATGCTGGTTATGGACTGTATCCTGCTTACCTACCACCCCTGGAAGGGTAGAGAATAGTGCCTCCCCCAGTCCCAAGGTAGAGTTTTGACCATGGTGGTGATCAGAAATGAAATGGCATTCCCGAGACAGGTTTTCAGTTCCAGAGTGTTGGGAAGTTTGAAGTGTAGCTACTCTCCCAGCTCATGGCAAGCAGGAGCCCAAGCAGACTGGGATTTTGATGGTGGTTGCTGCCATATTAGAATCTGCCCTGCAGAATAGGGGTGTGGCTCGATGATAGAACACCTGCTTAGCATGTATGAGGCCCTGGATTCTATCCCCAGACTGTAGTTGTTGATATCCCAGCATGCCTGGGAAGAATACAGAACAGGGAATCTGCAGATTTTAACAGCCCCAGTGGAGGTAAAGTATGAAGTAGAGACCTGCGGGGGGAGGGGGGGCAAGCTCTCCTCTCCAGGAGGCAGAACCTCAGGATGCCCACAGGTCACATGATGATTGCACCTCCATTGTAAATTGAGGCATTAAGCCCAGCCATGCTGCTTTTTGCCTCTTATTTAACAATATAGGCCTGAATTCTGTGTTGCTAGAAGAGCAGGGTCTTATTGGTATTGTCATCTGGTGACCATCACCTACTAGCTGTTAGAAATAGCTCTGCTTTAGGAGTGAGGGTTTTTGTTTGGTTGGTTGGTTTGGGTTTGGGTTTGGGCAGTACTGTATATTAAACCTACGGATTTGAGCATGCTTCCCTAGTACTGTGCCTGAGCTATATCCCTAGTACCCTCCACCCCACTTTTTATTTCGAGATAGTCTCAGTGAACTGTCCAGACCAACCTTCAACCCACTCTTTACCCCAGGCAGGCATTGAAAGTGTAATCCTCCTGCCTCAGCCTGCTAACTAGCTGGGATGTCAGGCCGACACTACCATGTATGTCTCTTACAGCAAATATTCATTCCTTTTCCTTCCATGTGGTGTTAAGCTCACTCCCGTGGTGCTGTGGAGATAGAACTGGTCATGTCATATGTTCTCCTTTAATGTATGCGTACTTTAAATGCCAACCACTGTTTTCTTAGCTTTTATCTTAAAATATTTTTCTGCTATTTAGAAAACCTACATCCGCTGACTAATGGCTACTTTTAAGTCTGCTTTTTTATTCTATCTTCTTTCCCTTTACTTTATAAAATTGAGTTAATTTCCTGTGGTATGCTTCTGTCCTTCCTCTCCTCCCTCCCCTCCTCCCAGCTCCCCTCCTCTTCAATATAGGAATCTGTAAGTTCCAGTGGCCTAGATGGGCTCTTACACAGGGATTTTTTAAGCTACATAATGTAATGTCAGAAATGTCTGTGATTCTGTATGTGTTTCTGTGTCCCTAAACATGTGTGCTTGCAATGGGGTGTGTATCTGTGCATGTATGTGTGTTTATCTGTGTGTATACATGTGCACTTGTGAGTGTATTTATGTCCGTGCATATGTGTTTATCTGTGCGTGTCTGTACATGTGTGTATTTGCATTTATGTGTTTATCTGTGTGTTTGTGAGTATGTGTATATCTGTGCATATGTGTTATGAGTGTTTGTGTTTGTGTGTATGCATACAAACACATGTGCCCTCTTCTTATAGAGCTACCAGAATTCAGTTGTGAGGCTCCACTCTAATGATCTAATGTACTTGCCACCATATGCTCCACCTCTGAACACCATTGTCAGATTGTTTTAACCTTCTTAGTACCTTGACATAGACCCTGGGCATTGGATTCATGCACACATTCATGATGTCGTATAAACCGAGACTGTACTTTAGTTTCCCAGTGGCCCAGACCCGAATAATCATACAAAAACTGTGTTCATTACAACACTGTTTGGCCAATGGCTCAGGCGTATTCCTAGCTAGCTCTTACATCTTAAATTAACTCATTTCTATTAATCTGTATATCACCACAAGGCTGTGGGCTGCTAGTAAGGTTCTGGTATCTTTCTCCTTCAGCAGCTACATGGTGTCTGCCTGACTCCGCCTTCTTTCTCCCTGCATTCAGTTTAGTTTTCCCCACATAGTTCTGTTCTGCCCTGCCATAGGTTTCTTTATTAACCAATGATAATAAAACGTATTTACAGCATACAGGGGGAAATCCCACATAAATATAGGAACCTTGATCTAGCACAACAGATATAAAAACCTTCCTGGCTCACAAATGTTACCTTGTTTAAATTCAAGTAGATGTGAGCCCATGATATCCTGTGTTTGAATGCTGCATCCAAGAAAAAGGTTGCAAGATTGATTTTTCCTTTTTGTTTAAATACTTATCCTTAGAATATGGTGATTTTAGAAGGATAAGTGTTTGATATAGACTATAATAAGATAACCAATATTTAAAGGCTGTTACTTCACTAAAAAGAACCAATTTTACTTCCGTAAACTGACTTTTAAAATTATCTTTATTTTTATTTATGCTTATGTGTATGCCTATGTTTGTTTATGCCATGTGTGTGGGGTGTTCACAGAGGCCAAAATAGAGTGTCAGATCCCCTGAAGTTGGGGTTACAGACAGATGTGAGCCACTGGACATGGGTACTGGACTGACCAGCAGGCCATCTGGAAGAGAAATGAGTATTCTTTTTTTTAAAAAAAATAAAGATTTATTTATTATGTATACAATGTTCTATCTGCATGTATGCCTGCAGACCAGAAGAGGGCACCAGATCTCATTATAGATGGTTGGAAGTCACCATGTGGTTGCTGGGAATTGAACTCAGGATTTCTGGAAGAGCAGCCAGTGCTCTTAACCGCTGAGCCATTACTCTAAGTATTCTTTACCACTGACCCATCTCTTCAGCCCCATAAACTTTGTTTTTTAAGCTTTATTCATTTTTTCCTTCTGTTCTTTACACACCTTTTTTTCAAGCTCTACTTATGGAGCTGTTTGTGTCTCTTTCACTTCCTTTCTTTCTACCTCAGAGAAACCGTTTGTCACATTATCTACATTCCTAACTCTTTAGCCATTCCTTTCTTTTTTTTATTTAACTTTGTCCCTTTATTTTCCATCTAATGGTTCTAACTCTGTTGCCTGTGGTCTGGTTTTCTTTCCCTCATATCTTAACTTCTAAGAATCTTGGTTTTTTTGTTTTTTTGGTTTTTTTTGCCATGGCTTGGTCACCTTATGCCCTGCCTTCCTGCATCCCTCCCTGCATACACCCATACACCCATCAGGGAAGCCTGAGAATATAAATAAATTAGGAATTTAATCATAACATTTTCAGCTGTAAATTGCACTAGAGATTTTGAGGAAAGCAAATATAAATCAGACACGAACAAACACCTACCCTGAATGGTGATAACGGTGGTAAACTATGAGAGAAGCTCCAAGTTCTGTCAGACGAGTAGATTTATCCACCGACTGTGTCGTCTATAGTTTCTTCTTCCGTTTTTGGTCATGACCACCACTCACCCAAACCCACATCCAAAAAAACGGGTCCACACAACATCAGCACCCCCTCCTGGAATGTACACAAAGTTTCACCAAGCTTTGCATTGTTTAACCCAGATGGTTTGGACTAACGATTCTTACCAACTATCATGGCTATTATCTAGATTAACACCGCTTTCTGGATGCTTTCCACATGCTGAGTACTTACAAACACTATCTCTGTGTCTCAGCTGACCTTCATATCCATTCCCATCGGGTGGATTTTACTAACTCAGTTGTGAGGAGTGGGAATTTGAGGTTCTGTGTGTGTAATGATGTGTTCACTGTCATAGTCACTGAAGAGGGCTTCCAAAGCCTGTGTCCCTGCTACGCTAAGTAGCATTATTGTGTATTAGCATTCAGGCCTGGCCTGGCTAGGGTGGGCATCAGTTCTGTGTGCAGGCTGAGCAAGCTGTGGCACTCATGGGTCTGCAGCTGATGCCCTCAACCGGAGCAAACCTCCCAAGCTACACTTCAGCTTTCCTATGTAAAGCTAAGTAAATCCATAGACACTGCAAGTTCTTTTTGCTCTTTTTGCGTTCTGTGATTTGATCCTCGTGACCGAGATGAAATGGGAGGACAAAATTGAGGACAAAAAACCAGTCACATTCACCTAGGGCCTAATGGGATTGTAGTCTGGAAGACACTGGAGCCAGGAAGCCTCGCAAGTATGTACGGAAGTTTTACCAGATGGTGATTGCGTAGTAGCTTAAGCTGAAGGGTCCTGGTCCTTTCTTTACTTCTTTCCCAGGAGTTGACTGGTAGGTAAGAATAAGGGAGAAAAGAATAGGACTCAGTGCCTGGGAAGGATAGACATCGTGGGTGAGATCTTAGGAGATCCATTAGCCCCTCAGAGGGTAATCAGTTTCATTCCAGAGTGGAAGTCTCCAAAGTCAACGTGTCCCAGAGATGTGTGCCAACAGTTCAGAAGTTCAGACATGCTGTTCCTGACACCTGGCCTGCAAGGCTTTCCAGCTCTGTGTTAAATGTCCAAGACCAGTGCTGTAAGACCTGGCACAGCCCTCACTAAGTGCTGCACTTTATGGACATTAGAGACATAATGTTTTGTGTATGTGTCTGTGAATGAACGGTGATGAGAGGGGCTGTAATCATGTATTTCAGGTCATCGATTATGGGTTTCCGGTGCTTTCAGACACTGCCCAATAACATCCTTTTCTCCAGGAAAGCCAGGATTCCTCCAACCATATTATAACCTCTTGTCATTTCTATTCACAGGCAAGAACTGGGACCTGACGGCCGCTCTAAGCGACTATGAGCAACTCCGACAGGTGCACACAGCCAACCTGCCACACGTGTTCAATGAAGGGAGGTGTGCCAAGCAGCCCGAGCGAGAATTGCCTCAGCCAGGGCACAAAGTGGAGCGGCCCTGCCTGCAGAGGCAGGACGATATTGCCCAAGGTACTGCTGAGGGGCTTAATGCAATATGAGTCTGTGGCTCCACGTCTCCCATGCAAAGCAGGAGAGTGTGACTGAAGCCTTTAGGGCTGGCCTGTCCACTGGGGAGTCTGCTTTGCCTGACAGATATCTCTGGTCCTCCAGTTACCTCTGGCAGCTTAGCCTCCAAGTCATTCAGTAGCGTGTTCATTGTTCCATGTGTTTCTTCTTTACTGTTCTTTTTCATCATCAGACTAAGGTATCCTTGTGACCGTGATTATAAAAGGGAAGCTTAAAAGGTCTTTGTCCCACCTCCAAGCTCTCACTGTCTTAATAACCCTTGATCAGCCAAGTCTGCCTACCTCCTTTCCCTGCTAAGCTTGTTAAAGACCTGTAAACAAATAATAGTCAGGGAGACATGTGGCTTACAAATAGCTTTTATTGTGGAGCGGTAAGCGTTAGTTCATTCTTTTGTTGCTACATCTTGTTACATGGTATATTTAGACCTTCCATCCGTATAAATGGCTATGCTGGGTTTTCTTGCATTTGTGTTGCCATTTGTTTGGTTTTGCCCCCCCCCACCACACACACACACCCATAATAAATGTTGTGACGTAGGTTTGAGTGGCTTGGTGAGTAAGAGCACTGGCTGCTCTTCCAGAGGACCTGAGTTCGATTCCCAGAACTCCTTGGCAACTAACAGCTATCTCTAACTCCAGGAGATCTGATGCACTATTCAAGCCTTGTAGAACACCAGGATACAGGTGGGACACATACATACATGCAGGCAAAACACTCATACCTAATAAAAAAAATGAAAATAAATCTCTTTAAAGAAATGCTCAGTCCTGTAAATCTCATGCTGACGCTTCTCTCCTTCAGGCTAGTGCCGTGCCATGGACTTGCTGTGGCTTCACGTAATCATCTCCCTGACCACATCGCTGCTCACTGAGTGCAAACCCAGGGCTTTGCTCTGCTCCTGCCAGCTCTGTGTGGTCTTGCTATGACTTTGCCTTGCTGGTGTTTTGAAGGGTGTGAAGAGTGAAAAGTGGAATCTTGTTTAACTTTCACCTTGTAGTTGGCTTGTTAGTTGGCCTCCTCCTCTCTGCCTCATGCCTGTTTCTTCATTAGTTCATTTTCCCATCAGTCAATAGGCTTTGCTTTATCAAATTGTAGAATCAGCACCTGGTTCTACCCATGCCCATTTATAAATCCCTCTGTATCATTTGCCTTTTGACTTTGTGTTCAGAGGACTCTGCCATATAGAAATGTTCATAGTATTAATGCCCCAGCCTATGAGCTAGTCTCTGGATTTGGAAATAAAATACAAGGTTAATAAACCTTTTTCCTATTGTTTGTCACTTTAGTCTTCAGGTGTTTCCATCAGTTTGGAATCCTGACAAAGAACAGCAAACGCTCTAGGCTGCTGTCTCTAAGTGGAGTGCTTCCTCCGCACATACTGATCAGATTGCCTTCCGCTCTGGACCAAATGCCAACTGAACCATGTGCTCCCAGCTATCCCAGCCTGTGTTTGTGGATCCTGTTTGTCTAGAATGCTACTGTCTAGTTGTTACCCTTGGCTCGGTCAGCTTTCTATACATTACTCTCTAAAGCAAACTCCTTTACTGCCTTTCCAAAAGCTTTTGCAACTTTTATGTATTTATACTTCCATGAAAGCCTATTGCAATTCCAATTATGAGTGAGCGCAGTCCTGTTTTAGCTTTAAGTTTGCATGTTTCTTGCATCCAATACTGTGGCATATGCCTCTCCACAAACTCAGATTCTGCCAAGACTAGACGCAGGAGAAAGCAAACCACTCTGTGCTTTCCTGTCGTCCAGGCGGCCACAGAAATACAGTGTCTTACTAATACTGATAGCTCTGAAATCACCCTGGGTTGTTGCCACAGGGAAATCATAACATCTAAGAGCATGTGTTGTCTTATTTACTTTTAGATACACTGATTTTTTATTACTTGCGATTTTAAATAAACTATAATTATATCATTTCCCTCCTATTCAAACCCTTCCATTCCTCTCCTCAATTCCTTCAAATCCATGGCCTCTTTTCCTCTAGTTATTATTGTTACATAAACACACAAACACACACCAGTACACAAACACAACCTCCTAAGTCTGGTGTGTATTGTTCATATGTATATAATATCAGGGCTGACCACTTGGTATTGGATAACGCAAATTTAGGGCCTTAACCCTGGAAAAGAATATTTCTCCTGCTCTCAGCATTGAATATAGGGTGATGTGTGTGTGTGTGTGTGTGTGTGTGTGTGTATGTTTACTTAAGCCTCATCTATACTAGAATTACAGCTAAAATTCCAACTATGATTCTTGAAGGCAATTTACCATGACATTTTATTTTATCTTCCAAAATAGCCTCTTCTTGAGTAGAAAATTTAATCTATTTAGTTTGCTTTAATGATATCTATACCTATACTATGTGTATTGCATACACTATAGCTATATAAAAATAGAAATATTGTACATTTCATATTTTATTTGTCAAGATTTTTTGTATGTTTTCATTTTCCTCCTCTAACAGATTAGCTTTTTCTACTATTTAAAAGTTTTATGTTCCACTTTTGACATCTGTAACTTCAACTGTACTTTTTTATTAATTGAGCTCTATATTTTTCTCTGTTTTCCTCCCTGTCTCTTCCCTCCCCTTCAACCCTCCCCCAAGGTCCCCAAGCTCCCAATTTACTCAGGATATCTTATCTTTTTCTACTACCAATGAAGATTAGAAATATATATATATATATATAATCTTAGTGTCCTCATTGTTGTCTAAGTTCTCTGGGATTGTGATTTGTCGACTGGTTTTCTTTGCTTTATGTTTAAAAACTACTTATGAGTGAGTACATATAAATGATGTTTTCTATCTCCATCCATTTTCCTGCAAAGTTCAAGGTGTCATTACTTTTTTCTGCTGTGTAGTACTCCATTGTGTAAATGCACCACATTTTCCTTATCCATTCTTCAATCGAGGGGCATTTAGGTTGTTTCCAGGTTCTGGCTATGACAAACAAAGCTGCTGTGAACATAGTTGAGCACATGTCCTTGTGGTACGATTGAGCATCCTTTGGATATATACCCAAAAGTGGTATTACTGGGTCTTGAGAAAAGTTGTTTCCTAATTTTCTGAGAATTCACCACACTGACATCCAAAGGGGTTGTACCAGCTTGCATTCCCACAAGCAATACAGAAGTGTTCCCTTTTCCCCACAACCTCTCCAGCATAAGTTGTCATCAATGTTTTTGATCTTGGCCATTCTTAACAGGTGTAAGATGGAATCTCAGAGTTGTTTTGATTTGCATTTCTCTGATGGCTAAGGATGTTGACCATTTCCTTAAGTGTCTTTCAGCCATTTTAGATTCCTCTGTTGAGAGTTCTGTGTTTAGGTCTGTACTCTACTTTCTTATTAGATTATTTGTTCTTTTGATGACCAATTTTGTGCTTGTGGTTCCTGATCATTTTCTCATGATTTCTGTTTCTATAATTCCCTCAGCTTGTGGTTTCTTTATTGTCTCTGTTTCAGTTTTCAAGTCCCGAATAGTTTCTTTCATATGTTTGATTGCTTTTTCTTGGTTTTCTTTAAGTGATTTGCTGATGTCTCCCAATTTTTTGTTTGTCTTTTCCTCTATTTCTTTGAGGGAATTTCTCATTTCCTCTTTAAATGTTTAAAACATTCTCCTTAAGTTATTTTTAGGTCATTTTCTTCTTTATTTGGTTGTTCAAGTCTTGCTATTGTAGGGTCTTTAGGTTTTGATGGTGTCCTGTTGCTCTTTGTGGTGTTACTTGTGTTCTTCCCTTTTCTACTCATCTTTTCCTCTAATAGGTGTAGTTGGGCTGTCTGTGATTCTTTTGATTAATCTTCTAGGTGCCAGTGAATCCAAGGTTCAGATGGTTGTTCCTCGTGGTACAGTCAGTGCCACAGTTCTAGTTACGCCATTGGTCACTCTGTGTTCCTGGAGGTCACTCGGCGCTTTCGAGCTTTTCTCTGTTCCCTTAGGGTTTGCTGTCTCAGGCCTGCTCTAGCCTAGGTTGTCGGCTCAAACCTGTTTCTGTAAATGTCCCTGGTCTGGATTTGTTCCTGCATAGGTCCCTAGCTTAAGGTTAGTCCTGCAAAGGTCTCTGGCTCTCATTTACTCCCTCAGAGTTCCCAGGCTTGGATGTGCCCAGATCTGCAGAGGACCTGGCTCAGGCTTACTCCCTCAGATGTCCCAGACTCACGCTCAGACCCATAGAGATTTCTGGTTCCTGCCTATTCCCTTTGATGTCCCAGGCCAACACCCGGCCCCACAGAGTTTCTGGCTCAGTCCTACTTCCTCTGAGGTCCCAGACTCACGCCTGGGCCAGCAAAGGTTTCTGGTTCCTGCCTACTCCCTTAGAGGCTCCTGGTTCCTGCCTTCTCCCTTAGAGGCTCCAGATTCACACCAAGACCCACAAAGGTCCTGGCTCAGGCCTAATTCCTTGGAGGTCCTAGACTCACGCCCAGACCCACAGGGTTTCTGGCTTAGGTCTACTCCCTTGAAGGTCCCAGATACACAACTGGACCCTCAGCAGTCTCTGGCTCACTCGCTCAGTGATTACTCCTCTGTACCTGTTCCTCTGGAGTTGGTTGCTGGCTCAGTCCTGGTCCACCAATGCCCCGGGACTCTCCACTGTCATCTTAAAGTTCGTGTTTTTGTTTTCTTTCTGAAATCGTAGAAGCACTCTGTGTTGCCCTGGAACTATGTCACGTGCTCCTAACTCCTCTACTATCGTGCCCTCAATCACATTTATGCTCTTTTTGTTGACTTTTATTTAGGCAAAAGTCAGCTTCTTGTTAGTATTTAAAGTCCTGTACTCGAAACATTTTCTCAATGAGAAGTCATAGCTACCACAGTAACACCATAAAATCATAATGAAGTCAAAAGAATCTCACCTACTTCGATGCCATAAAACATCACTCAGGAAGTGGTTGATGCTGGTGAGAATAGACATGCACTCTGTTATGTGACAGTACCACACATCATCTAGTATATTAAAGTACTGGTGATAAGTAATTGAGATCCAGTATAAGTATCATCAACTATGTGCTTACATAGTTTCTATGCTATGCTTTTTATTGTTATTTTAGTGTAGACCTGTGACAAAATACATTACCATATAAAGAGTCTGCCAGGTCCTGCTGGCTGCAGCCCCAACATTTACCTTGCCTCTCAGTAGCATAAAGAGGTCACACTGAAGGCCTGGGCCGGGTCACACGGGTATGTGTAAGGCCACTGTATGAAGTCACACAGGAACATATTTCTCAGAAGGCATCTCTCCGTTAAAAGACACATGACTACATTCATTTCCTTCTTTCAAGAAGAATGTTTCCTCAAATACTGCCTTCAAATCTTATTTTTCCTGAGAATCTCTTAAAGTTTAAGTGCCTGAAAAGGTTTGCATGACTAAAATTTATCAGTGGAGCAAAACTCCCCGGTTCTCATTCATTTCCTTGAGTTCTTTGTAAGCGCCATTGGCTGTCTTCTTGAAGCTCCCTTTTTGTCTTCTAAGAGACATGCTTGCCTTGGCATTCCAACCTACATCTTTCTCCTGGGCATTCATGTGAGTCAACACTTGGGTTTTCATTCCAAATTATTTCTTATTATTAGTAGTATTTCACCGTCTCCTCTGTATTTCTCTGTTCATATTTGCTAGGCTCATTTCTAAATTCAGTCTGTTCAGCCTGATTCCTGTGATGTAAGAACTTCATTTACATTCTTCTATTTGCCTGCCTTCCTTGGATATTTCCTCAGTTTCCCTGTGAGCATGAAGTGCTATGATTATCAGCTCCTCAGACTGGAGCCAAAAACAGGCAGTGTGGGCTCTAGTTGTTCCTCTGGTTGTGTAAGAGAGCTGCAAGGTGATCAGCCTTGTTGTTTTTTTCTGTCTTTGTGTCTGACACATAATAGTTGTACATAGTCATAGGGTGCTGTAGATACTTCAGTATATGCGACCAATGTGTAATAACCCTCTGATGGCTAGCGTATCTGTCATCCCAGTTATTGTTTCTGATGAAGACATTCAAAACATTTTCTTCTGGAAACTTGGAAAACTACAGTAATTTGTGAGCTCTGGTCACTGCTATGCTATTGAAACATTAAGATTTATTCCCCATATTCAACTGCAGTTTTATAGTCGATCACCAATCTCAGTTTCCCCTCTCCCTCCCATACCCACTCTTGCTTACCACTATCCTATGGTAGCTCTGCATAAAAGAGCAAGATCTGTGGCATCTGCCTGGCTTTTTTCACTCGATGAAGGCCCCTTAGATTCATCCATGTTATCATAAATAACACAATTTTATTTTTTATAAATAAAACTATTAGTATTATTCTTTATTAATTTATTAATAATAGTACTAATAAATACTATCCCCTTTTAGTATTTAGTAAGTATCCCCTTATGTGCTCTTTTTCCATTCTGCTGACAGACTTGTATTACTTCTATTTCTTCACTGTTAGTACACTGTAAAGCGTGTAGGAGAAGAGCTCCCTCACAGATTTTCTCTCCTTTGGGTTGGATCACCTTGGCTAATGCTCTCAAGGATTTGAGCTGAGTGCAGGAAGCAGCAGGAACATGTTCCAGTGACAGACAGCCCAGACCTCCTGCTCCATCTCTCTTATTCATGGTGGCCTATGTTCTCTCTCTCTCTCTCTCTCTCTCTCTCTCTCTCTCTCTCTCTCTGTGTGTGTGTGTGTGTGTGTGTATGTCTGTCTCTCTTTTCTTTTCTCAAAATGTAAGATAACCTAATCAGACTGTCTCAGAATGAAATTGAAGTGAATTAAAGCTATTCATTCTGAAATATGCAATATCTATAACTTTCTGTCCATTTGAATGAGGAAAATGCATGAGATCATTAAGGCAAACATCTACTTGGCAGTCTGTTTTGACAAAATTTCATTAATGCCATTTATGGCCACTGCTATACAATGAGGCTGTAGGAAGTCTTGCTCTGAGGCAGGCAGTGGCTATGATTTTCCTTGCAGCAGGGATGCTAGCCTAAAAGGAGGTGAGCAACCTTGGAACTCATGTGCATATACTCAGGAATCTGCCACAGGGTGTTGATCATAGTCACACTTAAACACCAAGGGCCCTCCTTCCCTGAGCTGAATAAGAGGATTTCTGCTGTGAGAAATCCCACGCCACCAACACTGACTCTACAGTGACTATTCCTATATCATATACTCCAGAGTTGTTATTTAGGGGTGATGCACCCTTTAATTCCTGTACTGGGAGGATGAGACAAAAGGATATTAAATTCAAGGCCAGCCTTGGCTCCATAATAGATTTCTGGTTTATGTTAATGTCACCCATTAAATACTTGATATTTTTTTTAAAAGTATGTTTCACTGCAACAAGAAAACAAATGCATTTGCTTCAGATCATTCAAGTTCTTACACATTAGCAGGTCTTACTTGAGAGACATCCTCCCCTGAGTTTCTCATTCGTTGGGCAGAAAACCCACAAAGAATAAAGCAGAGTAGGCCACAGCACCAGAGTGCTGGAACAAAAGGACATAAGGCATCCAGAAAGCATGCACAGCCTCCATCCGTGTGTCCCCAGAATGCCCACATGGGAAATGCTCAGCAGAGACGCTAGAATGAAGTAGCCCATGTCTGGAAAGCCTGGGCCATAACAGAGCAGCCTAAGCAGGATGCTTCTTGCTTTAAATCTGCAAGTGCATGAAAACAAAGATGGTATCCCAGCTCCCACCCACTGCCAGGAGAGGAAGGCTCTGAGGGGTGGAGTTAAACGGAGCTCACGAGCAAAAACAAGCCCTGCTGCTCCTGCCTGTAGGCTGGCAGCACTGCTCTCAGTGGTTCCGTGGCTTCCCTGAGGCAGGCCACACACCAGGTTTACTCCAGTAGCAGGCGGACCTCCAAGAGTCTTGGAAGATAGAAAGGCTGACGTGGGAAAGATATGAGCTTGTGTGCATGAGTGTCATGTGCATACATGTTCCTATATGTGTACAGTATAGTGAGCATATATATAGCTGTACCTGTGTGTGTACTATGCCCTGCTTATGTTCATGTTACATATGTGCTGTGCAAATATTATATAGTGTATGTAGTGTATGCATATACATCCATGTTCATATGTATATAACATGTACATAGTCTATAAGTACATGTGCATGAGTATATGGGGATATATATGTCCATATTTGTAGTATCTAGTACATTTTATACCTGTGTATGTGTGCATGTATGCATATATATGTGCATGTATATTTAAACTATATGGTGTATGCCTGTGTATGTGTATATGCAGATAAATATGCTGTCTAAAAGTCTCGTATTGGAGCTGTAGAGATGGCTCAGCAGTTAAGAGCATGTGTTGCTCTTGTAGAGGATCCAGGTTTGATTTCCAGCACACACATGGTGGTTCACAACCATCCATACTCCAGTTTCATAGGCCCCAATGCACTCCTCTGGCTTCCTCAGTCACCAGATATACACACAGTACATATACATATATTCAAAGAAAACACACATAAAATAAAATGAATAAATCTAATTTAAAAATTAAAAAATATTAAAAATGTTTATGTATATGTAGACATACTTATTGATAGTTACAGCAGTTCTGTATACTGTGCACAAATGTCTGTAGTGTGTATATTTACATGTGTGTTTGTACTGTAAAATGTGTTCATACATTTGCATTTATCGATATGGGTACATTTGTACATATGTGCATTTATAATGTTACATAAGTGTATTATGTGTGTTGTATGTTCATAGTGTACAGGTATGTATTTACCTAATCTGAATACTTGTGTGTTTTCATATATGCAGTATGTGTGCTGTGTGTAAGTGTTCAAGCATGGCTGCAGGCACTCTCAGAGCCACATCGACAGTGACGTGGTCCCTGTGTCTTTCCTTTCTTCTCATCAGCAGAGAAGCGTCTTTCCCGGGGAATTTCCCATGCCAGCTCAGCCATCGTCTCCCTGGCCCGATCCCACGTAGCCAATGAATGCAGCAGTGAGCAGTTCCCACTGGAGATGCCTATCTATACATTCCAGCTGCCGGACCTGAGCGTGTACAGTGAGGACTTCAGGAGCTTCATCGAACGGGACCTGATCGAGCAGGCCACCATGGTAGCTCTGGAGCAGGCAGGTGAGTGTCTGCTACCCACAGGCTCCTGTTCCTCGACACCCACCCCTGGTCACTCACCCCACCCCTAGCCTCTTTCCCCAGTGAGCAGGAGGAAGGTCTGGGTTCTTGGGATTGGCCATCAGAATGCTCCATTTGTACCAGCCCAGCTCTAAAGATTGTTGTACTCTGTCACTGAGAACGGGCTGGATAAGCAGTCATGCTGGTACCTCCCAGATCATTTCCCTTCTTCCTGAATTCCAGATTTTCCCTGACTATAGGCGCCACGCTACTTGGCCTTGATCTCTCCCCATTCCTCATCCCCATGGAACCTGAAGAAAGCTAGGCAATATGATTGAGTTAGAAGGGAAACGGGAGACCCTGCCAATTCTATGCACATGGACAAATCCTGTACCTAGAACTTCAGCTTCCCATCAGCAAAGGTGGCAACCCCAGTGGCTATGGGGACTCTGTGAAGACAGACATGTGTCTCTCTTCCCCACTGTCAGTCTTTCTGGCCTCCCAGCCGAGGGAAACAGAGAAGTGACGTGAGCCTTGTATCTAGCATTACCTCATGACCCTGTAATGCCCGTGAGGAAAACAGGGAAGAAGCCAGATGTGTCCTCTTTGACTTCTCAGTCAGTACAACCAATGACTCAAAGCAAGTGTTTGAACAGATGTAGGTTCATCCTGAGATAAGGCAATACCTTTTCAGCATCATCACTTGCGTTATAAACAACTGCAAAATTGAAAATCAAAGGGCTTCTTGGATATCTATGTGAAAGAGTTTGTTCTTCCCAAGCACCTCCCAGGGGGCTTCACTACCAGCATGCACCAAAGGCATGTCACCAGCAGTGGTTCCCGCTGCCCCCGATAGAAGTGGAACACAAGGCCTTCTGCTTCTCACTTGGCATTCGACCAGAGGCCTGACTGTTGAAGGAACTCCTAGGTAACCTATCCTAGCAGAGCAGGGAGGGATACCTCCTAGATGTGACATCTTAGCAGACAGCAGAGAAAGTGTTCTGCTGAGAGCTTCATCAGCAACAATGCTGCTAGGAAGCAGAACTCAGTTCTTGGCCAAAACACAATAAACGTTGCTGTACATCTATGTTTCAGAAAAAGATCAGAGTAAGATCTAGAGGGTGGACATTGGGAATCAAGATTCTGTCATGAAAGAAGTCTAAGGAGATGGTAGGAATCCATATGGGATATTTGCCAAGCGATGTGCGGAGGTTGAGGACATCAAAATTAGTGCCATGACTAAATAACCCAGCAAGGCCATTGCTACCTTTATGCCTTTCAAATAAGGGAAAGATGAGCAATCGTGTGGAGAGATCATAACATTGGGTAGAGAAGGAGTTAGAGAAATAGGCTCTAACCACATTCTTCCTCTACCATACAGACTGGCCAGAGCATCACACTAGCAGAAAGACAATGGTTGGGTGGTCATTGACATGTCTGTTTAGCTCACCCTCTAGGTGTAGAGCTGTGGGCACAAGGGTGGCATGTGGGTCTTTGAGGCAAAGACAAAGCACCCAGGGGGTCCATATCTCTTGAATTTTGGTCTCCTATCACCTTCTAGGTGTACTGGTTTCATATCAAGGCTTGTCAGAATAATTCAGGTGTCGTTCTCGTTCACATGCTCCAGGTGAGGAGTACAAGACACACGTAGATAAAGGAATGGATGGAGGCTGGTGAGGCCTTGTTTGTGATGAAAAGCCCTGTGGTCAAGACTTATGGGGCTTCCCCAGTGGTATGCTTGGCTTTAGAACAGGGCTATGTCTCAGTCATGTTGTAACTGAGAACAAATTGTTATCTCGGCATGATGAACAAATTGATCATCTCTACACAGCCCTCAGAAACACCTGACTGGCTCTGCACACCCCCTCTTCCTTCCCTCTGCACCGCTGACTGAGCCAGGGAATTGGTGGTAACTATACCAGCTGCCAGCCCAACAGACCCGGATGGCTATTCAGACAAGGCCACTGACGCAAATGACTCACTCTTCACCAAGAAGGAGCAAGTTGGTATGGGCTTTTAGAGAAAGAAGAAAGAAGCTTAGTGAAGTGAATGCAGCAGCAGCTCAGAGTCTTATAGAGTTCCAGGGACAGCATTTGTCGATAACTGTCAGGGTTTCTGTCCTGCCTGGTTCCCACAATCATTAAGTCCCAAAGAAATCACACAGAGGTCTACATTAGGTTATAAACTGATTGACCCATTAGCTCATGCTTCTTATTAACTCTTATAATTTATATTAACCCATTATTCTTTTTTTTAAAGTACTTTTTTATTTTTAAGATTTATTTATTTATTTATTATGTGTATAGCATTTCTTCCATGTGTGCCTGCAGGTCAGAAGGGGGTTCCAGGTCTCATTATAAATGGTTGTGAGCCACCATGTGGTTGCTGGGAATTGAACTCAGGACCTCTGGAAGAACAGTCAGTGCTCTTAACCACTCAGCCATCTCTCCAGCCCAAGCCCAGTATTCTTGTCTATGTTAGCCACATGGCTCAGTACCTTATTCAGCGAGGCAGTCACATCTTACTTCTTCTGTGCCTGGGTTAGGACTGAGTTCTCTTCCCAGAATTCTCCTGTTCTCTTTGACCTGCCTATACTTCCTGTCTGGTTGTCCCACCTATACTTCCTGCCTGGCTACTGGCCAGCAAGTGCTTTTACCCTCTGAACCATACTGCTGATCCATCACAATGGGTTTTGTTATTGATATGATAGTCCAAGAGGATTGTCTGTATGATTTTAAATTTGCTGGAATTTTCTTATTATCCAAATATTTGTGATTTTTATGTGTGTGAGCATTGTGCCTGTATATAGTCTGTGTACCAGGTGCGTGCAGTTTCCCACAAAGGCCAAAAGAGGACATCCTTTGGGAATGGAGTTACAAATGGTTGTGAGCTACCATAAGGGTTCTGGGAATTGAGCTCCAGTCCTTTGGAAGAGCAACCAATGCTCTCAATCACAGAGCCATTTCTCTAGCCCTATGATTATCTTTTCCAATATTCTGTGTATGCTTGAAAAGAATGTATAGTCTGCCAGCTATATGTTTTACTTGTGTTCATTGGTTATTTACTACATCTTTATAACCTACATGCTTTTTACTTGGTCTCTCAATTACTATGAAAAATGCACTAAAAACTTCTGTTTTCTTGTGCACTTATCTGTATCTTCTTTATTTCTGTGACTTTTAAAATGTGGGAGGGGGGCTGGAGAGATGGCTCAGCGGTTGAGAACATTGCCTGCTCTTCCAAAGGTCCTGAGTTCAATTCCCAGCAACCACATGGTGGCTCACAACCATTTTTAATGAGGTTTGGTGCCCCCTTTTGGTCTGCAGGCATACATGCAAACAGAATGTTGTATACATAATAAATAAAAAATATTTTAAAAATAAAATAAAATATTTGTGTGTGCACACACAGTGTGTGTGTGCACATGTGCACACATGTGCATATTCATTGTCTTTTCAAGGCTTTTATCATTGAGGAAAATTGGATTTTGTCAAAAGTTTATTCTACATCTATTGGAGTGATCATGTGAATTTTGTCCTTGAGTCCATTTATGTGATATACTACATTTATGGATTTGGGCAAGTTGAACCCTGTACCTTCAGAATGCCATCAACTTTACTACAGTACGTGATTTTTTTATATTTTCTTGAATTCGGTTTCTGAGTTCTTTATTGAGAAATTTTGCATCTAAGTTCATCAAAGAGATTTGTCTATAATTTTCTTTTTGTATTTGTTGTTTCTTTGTGTGGTTTTGTGTCAGGGCAACACTGTCTTCATCAAGAGTGTGGTGCTGACCATGGTCCAGTGCATGGCCACACATCCAGGAGTATATAGACAGCTCAAATTGGCTTCCATAGGCTTTTCTGTTTTTAATGAGTACACAGAGTTGGGTATGTAATGAAGTAGGGATGAATTTTGAAGGAGTTGGAAGGAGTGGATGAATATTAGCAAAATACATTATATAAACTTCTCAAAAAATTCATAAGACATTTTTAAAATCCGAACAAAAAAGGGTTTGGCGATGTTTCTCATTTTATATGGACTATATAAAACATAGGTTTGAGAAACCTATGTTAGTTCCTTAAAGGTCTGATGGAATTCAACAATGCATCCTTCTGAGCTGAGATGGATTTTGCTGGGAGAGTTTTTAATTGCATTTTTTATTTCTTTTAGAATTTCATATGTGAGTGATATGTGTCATTTCCACCCCTCCTGCTCCACCTTCCAATTCCCCCTGGCCCCTCCCACACCCTCTCAAATTCATGTCCTCTTCTTTTTAAATAAATGTTGAATACACACACACACACACACACACACACACACACACACACACGCATACAACCTACTAGGTGTTGCTCATATGTGTTCAGGGCTTCCTCCCAGACCCATGATTAGGCCCAAAACACACCCAAACACCTATTTTCACAGAGAGATCCTTTATTAAGCAGGGAAGAAAAGTACAAGTGGGTGAATTCTCCTACCAGATCCCTGATCTCTGCGAGCACCCATGAGTCCCCGTCAGTTGATTCTGTAGGCCATGCTGTCATAGTGTCCCTGACGCCTCTGGTTCCTCCAATCCTTCCTCCTCCTCCTCTACAGGACTTTCTGATTTCTGCCTAATGCTTGCTTGTGAGACTCTGCATCTATTCCCATCAGGTGCTGGATGAAGTCTCTCTGGTCTCTTTAGTGGCAATTTTTGCTAGGCTCTAGTCCCAAAACAATTGTAGGAAGGACAAACTGTGGGTCAAAGGTTTTGTGACTGGGTTGGTGTCCCAATCCCTGCACTTTAGGCCTACAGAAGATGGCTGGTTCAGGCTTTATGTCCGCATTAGTAGAAGTCTTTTCTATGGTCACTCTCATATGTAGGCAGAGCTGCTCATTCGCTTCTGGCCACCGAGACCTGAAACAATCACACAGAAACTGTATTATTACAACACTACTTGGCCTATTAGCTCATGCTTCTTACTGACTAGCTCTTATATCTTAAAAACCTGTGTATCGCC